GGCTTCTTGGTTTTCAATAATAAGAATTCAAAAAAGAAGGAAGAAAATTAGAACAGCATAGTCTCATAGAAACTGAACTATCATCACATCAATTTTAGTACAAAGCTATGGACATACAAAGGAGTGAAATAATTGCAAAATAAGCATATGAAGCTTCCAGTGCTAATAAGACCACAGTGCTTTGAATGTGACTTTCAGGAAATGGAGCTCTCCACTCAGAAGGCTGAGAACTCACTGCATTGCTGTGTGCCAGTTCTCCTACTGTGGTTATAGCAGCACCAAGTTCCAGCACCATCGAGTGACTGGATGAATAAATCCAAACTCTATGTGAGATATAATTTCCAAGCTCTGTCTATGTAATTTTATCAGAAGAGGTGAAATTTTAGTTCTCACATTAGAGGCTTTAAAATGCCTATTATCTATGCTTTGAAGGAGCCTCTGAATTAAAGCCTATGCTTATATGTGCAGGGATTTGAATGCTTTCTGCTCCTTCTCCGGCTTCAGGAGGGAAGAGCTTTGTCTGCGCTCCCCTCAAGGCGCTAATCACACACAGTCTTGCTGCAAGGCAAGGATTATGGCAAATCCTGTGCTTCACAGCTTTAGCTAATTGCCGGCGGCAATCAAGAGGGCATTTTCCTTTCACCATCTGTTAGCTAGCAAGGGACTGGGGACCTTGGTTGTTATGTTCTCCAGTTTCAGAAGCTACCGTGACTGGAGATGAGCAGCAGTGTGCTCCGAGGTGGAGAAGCACCTTGTTTGTTGGATGGCCTTGCTCACATGTTTGAAGTCACAGCTGTGAGTAAACCCCAAATGCAAAGGGTGGATTTTGCCCAGGTCATACTGACAAGAACCTCAGAGAACTCTACAAGGCTCTCTACATTATGGCAAATAACGTAATTACCGAATCAATCCCATGCCACTGCAGAAAACTCAGAATTCCTCCTTTATAGTAACATTTAACAGCAGGAAAGCTTCACTGGGTTGCCAATATGCAGGTGGTTGGGTGGAAGGTGAAGGTGTCAGCGGCGTGACAGCTTCCTGGTCATAACCTCTAAAAAGAGGAGTCCCATTGATTCCAGTAACACCCCTCTTAAAATAGTGCACAGGAGACCCACTGCCTGCGGATGGAATTTGCAATATTGAAACCACAGAAAAGGAATATAGTGAGAGCATTTTGCTGCACACTTAGCAATTCGCTGGCCAGGCTTTTTCCTGTTTTCCACTGTAACATAACTGTTAGTTTTAACAAAAACGTTTTGTCTAAGGCAGAATAATTTCTTCATAGCAATGAAGTGAGGTTCTGTTCACAGCTCTTTATTTCCATGCGTATATAAAGTTGCTGAACTTCCTCTGCTGGATAAAATTATCCATCATGAAAACACAATTAGGAAAGTTGAGAACTGTGATATTTTGGAATCACTGGATATTTCTGCTTCTTCACCGGAACGCAATGTCCACTTCTACGTAGAGGATATACATGTGTTATTTATACTTGTATATATGCATCTATATCTTGTATATATGCCTATTATTCTTTCTGATTTTACTGTTATAGATCCATTTTCCACTGGGAGTTTCCTGCCTTACGAAAAAATACTTCAAAGAATAGCACCATGCATTGCAATTGAGTACATGAACAACAATATAGTAAAATTATTACATGGGGAACTTGTGTAAATTAAATTTTAAAAGTACAAAATTAATTAAATAAAATAGTTCCTTAATTTTTTAAACGCAAGTACTATAAAGAACAGTGGGCCCCCTAAACATTACTTTACTGTTTTGAGAGCAGGTTCTTTTTTATTTAACTTAAGAACTTATAGAGCTCTCCAATGGCAATGGCATGGGTTGGGTGAACATGGAGTTTTAATGGCTCTGCCTGGTACCAGCAGGAAGGAACATGCATGAGGATTCTCTCATTCTCTCTGCCTCTGATCTCATTTATAAGTCATGCTCAACCTGACTTGAACTGAATGGCACAGCACTGCAGGATCAGAATGAGATGTTCCAGCAAACCTTCAGTGAAAGCTGTAATTCCTTTTGTCTTGTAAAAACTGCCCTGAAGTAAAAGTGGAAAGGAGTATTTAGCTCAGCTTTACTATTTTGATGACTGTGAGAACACACATGCCTGAACTGAATGAGATTTCTTCATCCAAGTGCAGTGTTTGAATCTATTTGCTATGCACTAGATAACAGCTCTTGTTTTAAGGCTCTTCAAAGTGAGCCTTTGCCAAAGAGCAGAGGTGACAGAGATAACATGCCTTCTGAGTCAAGACTAAAAGCCCACAAGTCAGGTGTAGTCACATGATAATGGTGGGCTGCCATAAGGAAATGTAATTATTTAAAAGAGAAAAAAACAACAAGCAGAAGCCCTTTACCTGCTGTTTCCTGGCAAATCTCCTTCCAAGAGAAAGGATGAAGACGGGGTTCCAGAAAATAATGCTCCACTCAGAAAGACAGGAACAGAGCACGGCAATGCTACATTTGGAATAAAGTAACCAGTGAAAATGGCGAGGGTAGGAAACAACAGGACTTTTAGTTATTTTTCTATCATTCCTTGTTCTTAGGTGCATAATTCCATATGTCACCAAACAAACAATTTATTATTTTGAGTAATGGTATTTTGAGTAACTGGAATTCCAACAGGAATCTATCTCCGAAATGTCTTACATTACAATGATGAGAAACATAAGCAACTTCTGAGTAAGAGATGAGTTCAAAAGGGTCACTTTTTTTTTTCACAGGCCTGAAGACTGTTATAAGAATACCTGCCAGATTTGAAAAGTATGAATAGAGACAATTGGAGAGGGAATAAAAGCCTGCTTTACAATTCTGCTGGATTATACCAGGCTCTGAGCCAACTTCTAAATGGAAGTCAATGGCATTGCATAGGTGGTAAGCCAGTGCTGACTTCATTCTTGACAATTTCAAGAAATTGCAGGGTAGGTAAAAACAGATTCTGTCTTTTGTAATCTTTGCACATGTACTTTGTTGCAGGAGAATGGGAAAATATCTGAGGGGAATATCTAAGGGACCTCATCACTTCATACCTGAAGTTTACCTCGTTGACACTACAATTTCTCTCAGTTGTTACGTTGGCACACTTAATAGAAAAGATTAAGAATACTGAATTGCCTGTGTTGGTAAGTGCAGCAGAGCTTTAACTTGCCTATGTAGCAGCAATGTCCTGTATGATATTATAACACTGAAGCCATCAGCAACCTTCTACCAAAAGGAGGTTTTCCCTGTAAGAGAGGAATTCAAGGTGACTACATCCAGGTTTTAACACATATGAGATGGAGACACTCTGGATATGGAGGGATGGGTGTAAGTGGCAATTGTCTTTTCCATCTCACACTGATCAGTGGATGAGCTCTTCATCTCTTGCTTCTCCACTTGCATATTCCAAAAGTTCTGTGAGCTGTGTCACTACCAGAGGGCATGTGGCTATTTCTAAAAGTTTGTATCTCAACTTACGGGCAGATATTTCTTTATTTACACAATTTTCTCCTCACCTTACTACTTTCTCCTCACCTTCTGCATGTGTGTTATGATATGGCTTTTGACTGCTCAGGTTTTGGTTATAGAAATAGCATTTCATATCGGTAAATGGCTTTTCCACGTACAGTGCAATGTCAGGCCACAACCTGGAGTCCTGTGGGGAACTGCCACACTTGCAATCATTCTGTCAGCACCAGAAATGACAAATCGGGACCGAAGCAGGGGAAGGACTGCATTGTGCTGGCCACTGTCAATTATCTTACATTAACTGTAGTAAAGTACTGGTATGTGAAAATCATAAAAAAATGTTTGAATGATTGTGAATGGAGTACAGATTGAAAAGCTTTTGGCTTGTGCAGCCACAGAGTATGTGACCTATCAAGGATTTGATAGGAAGAAGTTGCCAAGGGAATTGTAAAGCATTGTTTGTAGCTGACTTCAGCTTTTATTGTTGTACTCTGATTACAGCTTTTCTTTGACTGTAAAAAGTACAGTTGTTAAATGCCAGCTTGAAACAAAGATGCATTTACATGCAAGAACTGAGTTCAAATGAATTCTGTTTTTTGGAGATATCACTGCTTTGAGCTAGGAAAAAAAATAAAAATTCTCCTATTACTATTTTGGAAAGCAACCAAAAATTTTAGAACAAGTTCAGTATGTGCTTAAAATAGGAACATTCCCATTCTAATTGGCTAAATATCGCTACTGGAAATTGTTATGTGCCACTCGGACCATTGTGCCTTACGGCTTCAAAAGGCTTTGAGGCAGCACCTGAACCAAGAGGAAAAGTGCAGCAGAGGAATCTTCATGTGCCCAAACAATGAATTCTTTCCAAGGCAGAGTGCAGTCGGTAGCACAGCTCTCCGTGAGACAGGTTGTGCCACCACCACTGCATTCCACACCGCAATGACTTGCACACTGCCTGCCTCAGTTCCCCAGGGACAAAATGGCTGCAGCGTCATTGCTCACGTTTCATAACCACTGCTGAAAACTCTGTCACATGGCAGCAATCATAGAATCGTTTGAGTTGGAAGGGACTTTTAAAGGTCACCCAGTCCAACTCCCTTGCAATGAACGTGGGCAGCGTGCGGCTCTGCTTAAATGGTGCTGCTGGCATGAGGCACAAGCAGCGCATCACCTTCTGTATTGTCATATTTATTGTGCATAATTATTGTACATAATTGTTGTACATATCCTTACCCTTTTTGACTGTACTGTTTTTTTTTTGTGTGTGTGTGTGTAGGAGACCACCGTGTTTGTTTAATGACACGCCCGGCACCCCGCCTGCCTGCGGCCCACCTCCCCCGCAGGCGGGGACTACAACTCCCGCCAAGCGCTGCCCGCGCACTACATATCCCAGGATGCTGTGCGGCGCATGCGCACAGCAGGGCGGGGACCTCGGCGGCGTCGCCGCGCACAGCGGCGGGGGGGGGGCGGGCGGCTGAGTTTCCTGAGCGGGGCGGGAAGCGGAGGGGAGGGGAAGGGAAGAGCGAGTTCCAGCCGCCGCCGTCGTGACGGGCCGGGAGCGCGGCAGGAGGAGGCGAACGGGACCCGCGCGCGGCCCGGCTCCTCACGGAGCTCCCGGACTGCGCCGGCCTCCAGTAAGTGCTCGGGGCCGGGCGGAGGGCCGATGTGGGGCCGCCCGAGGCCCGAGGGCGCGGCGGCGGCGGCGGCGTTCTTCCTGCCGTGCGGGGCAGGCGCTGCCCTCCGCCTTCGCGCAGCGCTCCGTCTGGTCGCCTCGGGCTTCTCCCTTCTCCTTCTTTTATGGTTCTTATTTTTTTCGAATGTCATTTTTTCTTTTTTTAACTTCCTGACGAAATCTTGGCTTTGGTGTGAGGGTCTGCGGGCGCTTCACCTCGAGGGGGGTTGTACGAAAGGTACAAAAGGTGATGGCACCATCGCCCCGCTGAGCGTTCAGGGTTCAATCACATCCCCAGCGCTAAGAGGATGATCTCATGACCCGCGTTTTATTTGATTTTTTGATGATGATGATTATTATTATTATTTACTTCTCCCTTCTGTCTTGTCAGGTGTTACCAGGGCACAGCCTACAGTGCTGGTGCTGATTATTATTATTATTATTTGTTATCATTCCCTTCTGTATTCTCAGGTGTTACCAGGGCACAGCCTGCAGTGCTGGGCGTGGGCCACTGTGAGGTGCGGAGCTGTGGTGGCTGTGGCAGCCCCCAGCCTTCATCCTGAGCGCTGCTGTGGCTGCACACAGGCTGTTGGAGGGAGCTGCAAGTTAGCAGCGTGCTGCTCAGCCACCTGTGCTGCTTGTTTCTCAATGCAGACAGTCTCTGAGTGGACAACTTGCCTTTAAATGTGTGTTAAACTCTGTCACGTTTGCACTCTGTAGCACAGGTATCATTCCAGATGTGCGTTTGGTGTGTTATGAACTTAAGACTTAAATGCTGCAGATGCCTTGGGAGTAATTAACGCATAACCTGCACAAAAGGTGTTGTATTACTGCATAAAATTTGCCAAGTGACTTCAAGAGAGCAGCGTTTTGTCTCTGGGGAGCAGGCTGTTATTTTGTGGCCTGTTTTTGAAAAGTCTTCTGTCTTAATTCTCATGGTTTGTTGGGGGAGATTAAAAATGCTCTGACAGAACACTTAATAGTCAAGTGGGGAAAAGTTCAGTTACACAACTTATTAGGCTGATCGTTAGGTAGAAAGTGCTCTCATTTGACTGAGTGAAGCTGAGAATGGGACTGATGTTTTTTCTTCAGTTGTTAAGACCTGCATTTCTTCGTGCTTCATCTTGCAAAGGCGTTGTGCTTTTACAGAGGTTACCAGCCATTTACGTATATATACAAAGATGTGCGTGAAATCCAGACTGCTGGATGCTGTAAGCTTTTTGTTGCCTTCTGACACATTGCTTTACTTCACTACGAAGGGGCCATTGTATCTGCAAAGGTGCACGTCCTGTTCTCTTCCCCTTCACCCAATCCCATATGTGACACTGGAAAACAGAACTGTATTTGATCGCAGTTTGCCTCTGTGAGGTGTTAGAATAGCTTTGCATTGTTGAGTCCAGAAGGGTTTTTTGTCTTTTTTATTTTTTTCTCTTTATCCACTTCCTTTTTCTACACTTTGACCATGTTCATTATGATACAGCACAAACCCAGTCTTTACCATGATAGAGCTGTGGGGGATGTCTGTGGCTGGATGCTGTACAACAAGGTACTCCTTCTGGCTGTCTTAACAAACTTAACCAGACTGAAATTTTTAAGGATTTTTTTTATTCTTTTGGAGTAAAAATAGTTATGAAATATAATGAAGGCTTGTGTCAGTTTATTTCACAACTGAGTTACGGTGAATCTTTCAGGTACATGCAGGAGTGTGATCACCTATGGAAAGAATTCTTCCTCTGAGCTTAGTCATTGCTTCTTATGATGTACCATGCTGGATACATTGAGAGGAAATCATTCTAGGCAGCGTTAACAGTGGGTTTGGAGCAGTGGATTTGCCTTTTAGGTTCCTGCAGTTTTGTCTCCCACTTCTGGTTATTATTTTTACATGTTGATCAATTCACACAAGTAACAATGTGCATGACACTGTCAGGTTCCCAAAGCAGAGAAGTGTGGAAGTTCTGCTTTCCTGTTTGTCACATCCGTAAGCATTAGGGGGTGGGCTGGAGTCTCACTTAAAGGGATTGTCAGCCTTGTAATTCAGTGGTAAATAAGGCCTGATACGGCATAAAGTATTAATTCAAGAGTTTATATTGGGTTTTGTGCATTCTAACAGTTAATACTTGGCATGATATCACTGAGTACTGGGCTGCCAGAGACAGCTTAGCATAAAAAAAAGTCAAACTTGTCATGAATCTGGTGTCTGCAGTTACTCAGCGCTGCTATTTTGTTACTGTAGGAAAAATCAGTTCTGAGTTAGTAAAATGTACAGATGAAATCTGTTTTCTTAAGCTATTTCTGTGTTACATAACTGCAGCTGGCACAAGCTTCCATTGTGTGCATTGCAGAGATGGAAATCAGGAGAAGGATGTGTGGTAGGTGACTAACAGGGTATATTGCAGCATTTAAGTGTTTTGGAAGAAGAGATGCTTACATATAAACTTGAGAGAGGACAAAAGAAGTAGTGTGTACGGGAAATAGGAAGCACCTTAATGTTTTTTTTTTCCTCTTTCTGTCACCTCTCCCCTGTAGTTGTCCTTTCTTAGGAGCAGTGACTGAATGATAGAGAGAAGATGTGCGCCGTGGCGTGCAGAGATGTGTACAAGCAGGGAAAAAACCTGAATGTGAGAAAAGGCCTTGACTTTTCCAAATAGCTGTGGCTTGTTTCAGAAGACAAGTTCTATCAGCAGGAATAATAAAGGCTGACTGTATGTCAGAGGGTTAATGCAGAAGAGAGGAAGTGCAAAAGTCCATTTTTATTGACTGTAACAGATTAGAAAAAAGCTTTAGGACGTTACTAAAATGTGACCTGATCTGTGCCTGCAGTACAGCCTCCAGCGCAGGATTGGACAGAGTCCAAAATGCCAGGCCTGCACAATTCTTAATCTATTTTAGTAGATTTAGAATTCCATCAGTGTCTTTATTACTAAATGGCCCTGGTTATTTGAGCTGACACCTATCACAGTAAATGGAGTCACTTCAAAATGCAGCGAGCCTGGAGCACTGGAAAGTGAGAGCGAGTCAGAAGTGTGAAGTTCCCTAGCCTGTGGTGGTATGTGCTCCATTGTAGCCAGCTGTATGTCACTGCTAGTCTGAACAATGGCTTGTGATAGAAGAGAAAGCATCCTTTGCACCAGTTGTTTTCTCCTGATAGTCAGGAGCAACGGAAAGTGTTCTCTGAAAATGCTTGCGGGGTTCAGAGCCGAGCCGAGTAAGCCTTTGTACGGCTGCATGAAAGTAGAGGGCAGTCATTTGTTTCAGTGCCAAAGTAGGTGAATTTAGGTAACTGGATTTAGCATAGAACATTCTTACAAAGTGGAGTAAGTAGTTCAGAACAAGAGATAAAACTGTCTGTTCTTTGGTTTCATTGAGTCTAAATGCGGCGAGACGGGGTGGGACGTACTGCTCACAGTGCTTTATAGAACTGCGTAAGAAACAGAAACATCAGAATCCCAGTGAGCTTACCTGACATAAAAATAATGTATGTTCTCTTAAAAAAAAAAAAAAAAAAAGCATGCTGAAGAGGTTAGAGAAACAAGTACTTGTTTCAGTTTGGGTTTTGAAGTAATATGTGTTAATGTACAAAGCGACTGATAGTAGAGATAAGGCTGAACTATTTAGAAAAAAGGAGTTCTACTCTTATGCTGCTCTCTGAGACTAGGACTTTGTACATCTGTAAGTCAAAGGTCATTGTCTGATATGCTGTAGTCTAATTTTGAAACACTTAGAGATGTATTAGTGTATGGCTCAATTTTATAAATAACACCTTCCTGTTAGTGCTAGGTAAAGCAGCAGGGTTTTGTGCTGCTGAGGAAGGAAGCTTGGTTCATTGTCTCAGCACTGAGCAGCGTTTTCTCCCTCCAGGGACTTGCAGAAGCATCTAGAATGTGTAGGTGTTACTTTAATCTTGGAGAAGGAACTTATTAAGCTTTCTGGGGCAGAACTGTATGAGCCACTTACTTTTAACAGATGTTATCTGCGTGAGTAGGGAGTTGCAGGTCTGGTAGACGTTTGTGGCATTTAACAGTTTAAACAGTTTTCAGGTTTGAACATATGCCTTTGCCTTGAAAATCTGAATAGTTTAGGTATTTTATGTAGAAGAAAGGTGGTTCAATGGTGAGTGCTGCGCTGAGACTTGGGAAACAGGTTGAGCTCTGTGCGTTGCCAAAGCTCTCTGTGTGGCCTGGGACAAACTGCTGCTCTGTCCCTCCACGTTCAGCTGGAGCTGCAGAGCTCAGTGCATCACCAGCCGTTATAAGGTACAGCAGTCAGGCTTTGAGGTGCCTGGAGCCTAGGGCTTCCTTATGTTGGAAGTTAGAGGGTAGGTGAGCTCCCTGCTGAGTGTGAAGTCGAGGAAAAAAGAATTCCGGCAGAAAACCTTTCGGGTCAGTTAAAGGTAGAAAGCAGGTTGTTAAAGGCTGGAGGAGCACTGCGTTGTTTTGTGTATTAAAAGCAAAAGTATAAAAGCAGTGCTTAAAAACCTGAATGGGCCAGGTCTTTCTGTTGTGATCCAAGGAACAATAGCAAAACTGCGTTCTGCTGTCAACTCTCCTTTTGTGTGGAAAATGCCATTAATTCTAGGTAAGCATTACATCTGAGTGGTTTAGCTATCAGTTTTGCTTATTAGTTATTGCTGGCACGGTAGAATGCCCTAAATTCCTTTTGATTTTATTGGCTTTTCAGGTGAAAGAAGATGAGAACAGATCAGCTTTTCCACCACACCACTGAGCTAAAAGTATTTTGGTTGAAAATCCTTCTGCTGGAAGTTAAAGATGGAATTGTCCTTGCTGTAAACTGAAAGTGCAGACTAGACAGCAATTATCAAGCTGTGCAAACATGAGTTCTTATTGCTGAGAGCCTACGCCCCCAGGAGCAGTCTCTGCACTAACAGAGATGTGATAAATTCATCAGTTTAATATGCAGTTATTTTGATGTGTATGAGTGCTTTGGTCCCCATCACATTTACAT